GTCGAAGTTACGTCTATTGGCCGAATATCGACAAAGATTGCGAAAACTTGGTACGAAGATGTACGAAATGTCAGGAATTAGCCAAGAATCCGACGAAAGTACCATTAGAAGCATGGCCGTCCGCGACTCGAGTGTGGCAGAGAATACACATCGACTTCGCTGGACCTATGCAAGGAGTTTTCTACTTGATCGTGGTAGATGCGTATAGCAAATGGCCGGAAATGATCGAGATGAGCAATATCTCGGCTGCGAGGACGGTGAAGGCTCTGAAGAATTTGTTTGCGAGATATGGATTACCGCAAACAATAGTGAGCGACAACGGTACTCAGTTCACGTCGGACTTGTTCAAGAAGATGTGTGACGAAGGTGGAATCACCCACATAAGGACTGCTCCGTATCACCCTCAATCGAATGGACAAGCAGAGCGTTTCGTTGATACGCTGAAACGCGGAATCAAGAAACTAGAGGGGGAGGAGAGGCCAACAGAAGAGACTCTGAACGTGGTGTTACAAGCGTATAGGACAACACCAAATACGACCCTAAACGACAAGACGCCAGCAGAGTTGTTTCTAGGCAGAAACTTGCGCACAAAATTAAGTCTGTTACTTCCAATGACAGAAGATGCAGAAGACCCACTCGCACGAAGGAGACGGGAGCGCATGAAGGATCAGTTCGACCAGAAGCATGGAGTCGTTCGAAAGGAATTCGAAGTTGGTGACTTGGTTTACGCTAAACAGTGGAAACCACCCCACTTCCATTGGATGAAAGGAACCGGGATGAGGCGTATTGGACGTGTCAATTATGAAGTTATGGTTGGCGACGAGATGTGCAAGAAGCATGCAAATCAGCTACGGCATCGAAGCGATAGCGAACAGCTCGCCGTGCGACAACAACTTCATCAACAGTCCGAAGCCTTGAAGATACTCCTAGATGTTTTGACAGAAGATGACACTCTACGGAGGAATAGCAGTGCAGCCGATGAGAATTCCGAGCAAGCGATCGCGAGCGATGTGCCAGCACCCGTGGATTCAACGACATCGACGTCGACATCAAGCCACGAGCCCTCCACGCCACCGACAACGCTTCGCAGGTCGAGCAGAACGAGAAGACCGGTACAACGGTTCCAATCTAGTTCATAGTATGTTATTGTATGTTTGTTTCATTAGTTTGTAGTTGTTCAAATGATATGCTATCTCTATATGACCGATTTCTTGTTGTTCATATTTATAGTTCATGCTTTTGTCGTAGGCTAGTTCTGTTGTAACTACCCTACTGGGGGAGGTGTTGTGTTAGCGTCTGATCAGTTGTTTCCTCGTATGATCTGCCCTCGCTGAGGCGCCTGCAGCCTCATTGCGCGGGAAAATGAGCGCTATAAAAGGCGCTCGCTGTTAGCCATTGTCAGTTCGTCTGTTCACTCATCTGCATCTTTTATTTTTGGCTGCTCTATTATTTTCTAATAAATATTCTGGTATTTTCCGTGTGCTCCTCAGGACGAAGAATCGACGTGTCCGACGTGGAGGACACAACATATATATATATATATATACCCTAAAATCCCTACATTAAGTCCGCCTCTCAGATAAGTCATCCATCAACCCCTCCGGGGTGATCAGCATGCTCGATTACCCCCCTGTGCAAAATCCCAGCCCCTTAGCTCAAATTTTGCAAAAAATCGATAAAATCGATATCGATCGATAACGAAAAGTAGCCTATGACACGCTCCCTGCCCCGAAGTATATGTGTGCCAAGTTTGGTCCCGATCGGTTCAGAAATAAAAATTTCTATTCTGCACATACGTACAGACAGATATTCAGCTTTATATCTTATATATAAAGCTGAATGTCTGTTTGTATGTATGTATGTCTGTATGTATGTGTGTACGTATGTTCCGAATAGAAAATTCCATTTCTGAACCGATCCGGACCAAACTTGGCACACATACACTACGGGCCCCGGCGGGTGTCATAGGCTACTTTTCGTCATCGATCGATATCGATTTTATCGATTTTTATCGATTTTTTTGCTGAGTTCACCTACGGGGCTGGGAGTTGGCACAGGGGGGTAATCGAGCATGGGGATTCCGAATACAATATTGGTTTTCAGGATTATCAATTACTTTTATCGATTTTATCGATTTTTTTGCAAAGTTTGAGCTACGGGGCTGGGAGTTGGCACAGGGGGGTAATCGAGCATGGGGATTCCGAATACAATATTGGTTTTCAGGATTATCGATTACTTTTATTGATTTTATCGATTTTTTGCAAAGTTTGAGCTACGGGGCTGGGAGTTCGCACAGGGGGGTAATCGAGCATGGGGATTCCGAATACAATATTGGTTTTCGGGATTATCGACTACTTTTATCGATTTTATCGATTTTTTGCAAAGTTTGAGCTAGGGGGCTGGGAGTTGGCACAGGGGGGTAATCGAGCATGCTGATCATCCCCAAGGGGGGTGATCAGCATGCTCGATTACACCCCTGTGCCAAATTCCAGCCCCCTAGCTCAAATTTTCAAAAAATCGATAAAATCGATAAAAGTAATGGACGATCTTGAAAACTAATATTGTATTCGTAATCTGCATGCTCGATTACCCCCTGTGCAAACTCCCAGCCCCGCAGGTCAAACTTTACAAAAAAAAATCGATAAAATCGATAAAAGTAATGGACGATCCTGAAAACTAATATTGTGTTCGTAATCAGCATGCTCGATTACCCCCCTGTGCAAAATCCCAGCCTCGCATGTCAAAATTTACAAAAAATCGAGAAAATCAACAAAAGTAACCGATAATTCTGAAAACTAATATTGTATTCGGAATCCCCATGCTCACTTCCCCCCTGTGCCAACTCCTAGCCCTGTAGGTGAACTCTGCGAAAAAATCGATAAAAATCGGTAAAATCGACATCGATCGATAACGAAAAGTGGACTGTGACACCCGCCGGAGCCCGAAGTGTATGTGTGCCAAGTTTGGTCCGGATACGGCGGAGCCGGGTAAGCCAGCTAGTATAAGATATAGAGTGTCCCAAAAAGATGTGCACATTGTTTGATCGTTAATAACTCTTTTGCTTTCGTGTCTTTTGCCGAGCTTGAAGTATCATTTTGTAGAGCGAGGATAAACTTAGATCTACAGTGATAAGCGAAGCTCCAATCTCTTTTTGCTACTGTAGGATTACGGTATGAACTTTCAGCATACAGCATCACTGTGGGATAAGCCTTTTGATGAAATAATCTCAAAAAAATCTAAAAAATTATGTAGCGAGGTTTTCAGGCGTGCTGATTTCACTACATAACATTTCATCCCTTTTTCAAGCATTCTTGATGGCGTATTCACATTTCTGCTGAACACTGGAAATTCAGTTGTTACCCTAAATTTGAATTAACTCATGAAAGAAACATTGTACTGATGTGCAGTTTTCATATTTAGAATCAGCGACTATGATTAACCCAGTTCAAGAGTTTCTGGCTTATTTGGCTTTTTTCTAAGGCAAAATACAGCTTTCCATTGCTGAAAATCCTCCTCGAAATTCCTACCGTAATTCTACAGTAATGAAAAGAGGCTGGTAAGTCCCTCCATACTGTAAATCTAAGTTTACCCTCGCTCTACAGAATGGTACCTCAAGCTCTGCAAAAGACATGAAAGCAAGAAAGTTATCAAGAATCAAACAGTGTGCACATCTTTTTGGGACACCCTATATATACAGGGTGTCCCAAAAAATGTTAACACTGTTTGATTGTTAATAACTCCCTTGCTTTCAAGTCTTTCGCCGAGCTTTAGGTACCATTTTGTAGAGCAAGGATAAACTTAGATTTATAGTATCGAGCGAATCATCTAACTCTCCTCGTTACTGTAGAATTACGATAGGAAATTTGATAGATTTTAGGCCATTAAAGCCCATTTTCTGCTTCGAAACAGAGCCAAACAAGCCAAAATCTCTTGTACTATGGTAATGAAGGCCGCTGATTTCGGATATGAATTTTTTACTTCATTATGGTACTTCTTTTCAAAGTCATCCTAGGTAAAGTGTAATAACTGACTTCCCAGCATGTGTCAGAAATGTGATTACACCGTCAAAAAAGCTGAAAACACTTGTAAAAAGTTGTGTAGTAAAATCAGCGTGCGCGAAAACCCTAGTACACGTTTTTTCAGATTTTTTGAAAAAAATTTTGTCAGAAGGCATATTTCACGACGGTTCCACATGCTGGAATTTCCTACCGTAATAATTCTACAGTAACGAGGAGCGTTAGATGATTCGCTCGATACTGTGAATCTAAGTTTATCCTCGCTCTACAAAATGGTACCTAAAGCTCGGCGAAAGACTTGAAAGCAAGGGAGTTATTAACGATCAAACAGTGTTAACATTTTTTTGGGACACCCTATATATATGTATATATATATATATTGATTTGGCTAAGCCACTTTTCGTATCTTCGCCCAAAAGGATAGAAGGAGTAATAGAATCTCTGAGCCAAATTTGGCACACATAATGCACGGAGTGGGGCATGTGTTAAAAGCCATTTTGTTCGGGATCTTGGAAAATTCTTCATGTTCCCACAAAAAGAACAGAAGGATTAATGGCCAGTAATAGCTATTTTATTCGAGACACACGGTTACTCCTATCGATCTGTAGGTATTTTTTTTGCAGTTTGCGTGTATCCGTTGCTGAGTGTTGTTTCAGATTGACAAAGCCGAAATTATGTCCTCAGTTTTTCCTTCTGCGCAGTTATAAATCAACGTAATTCGTGCGGAACGGCAAAGTCCCACATCTCCGCATTATAGAGTGAAACGAAATATTTACGAGGCAACGAAGCTGCCGAGACCAGCCGAATATGCCGCGTAACGGCAGAGAGCAGCTGGTGAACGTATACATATTTGCAATATCGATTTGCTTCGTCACCACCAAAACCCCTTCCAACTGACATTTACCATCCTCGTGCTGGGTCCTATGTCAATGCAGTCGTTACAAACGCGCTCTCTGCTCAGGCTGCAGAGAGAAATAAGCATACCTGCTATTACCTGCACTAATACGGCGCAGGCGGTGAACATTGCTTCGTAACCACTGTATTACCGTTGATCGTACTTTTTTGTTGAGAACTACAAGCAGGATGAAGATGAAGACACCCTGTAACATCGTAATTTTGCAAATCGACTAAGAAGTTCAGTCTAGCTGTATCTAATTAACACTGTTATCGGATTTGGAATTGACATTGTGGAGGAAAGCTTTATTGCAAGAAAATTCGCACTGGCTGTCCACTAATCAGTACTCTTCTCTAGCAGTGTGGGCTGCAAAAGAAGATTAATGAGTGTGAAGTACAAGGAAACTGCACTGGCTTTGCAAACTAAGGCAGTAATCTTTTCTAGCAGTGAGTCTCCAGTCCCAACTAAGACACCTAAATTTTGTAGCATTTTTCATAACATTTTCCTTGATGTGGCGCTTTAGTTTCGAGGCTATGTAAATGTGATGCAGGCGACAACTATGCACAAACTATTTGTAATTGAACCTAATAAAAGGACTTTATGTATTTTTCAAAATTGCAAAATCGAGATATTACGATTTTGGAGCAAAATGAAGCCGCAGCTCAATCACGTGGAATCAATCGCGAGCAAAGTGCTGGCAAAGTCCGACTTCTAAGCTCATCGGAAGAGAATTGGTGGAAGAAGATTAATCAAAATTTGCCGTCTCGAGAATCGGAAGAGTGATCGCATTGGTGCTGCGTAAAGCGTCAATACCAAAGAAGACCAATCAAACTTTGATCTTCAGAATTCAAAGTTAATTTGTCGACTCGTAAATAATAATGAATGGGTAACATGGAAATTTTTATATCATATTGAATTCAACAAAATATGAAAAGCTCTGTAAAAAATGCCTATTTTTATTTTGTAAGTACTAATTGTCCCATAAGCTCCGTCCGTTTTGAATGTTAATGGCAACAAATCATGTATATCTTATATCTAGATAGGTTTTAAGCTACTGTTCGAAAAGGCTAAGCAGGCTCTACAAAATGGCTTTCTTGCTTTTGCACCAGTCTGATCCACGTTGAGTTTGGAGCCAAAAACTGAATGATTCAAATGCGCGAAAAATCAAGAGAAAAAGAAAAAAATTTTTGACTGCCCACGAATTCACTTTCCATATCACACATTTACATACACCTTCGCTGCATTTTTCTTCTCGGTTAGAAATCAGGAAACGAAAAAATTTATGCATTTGCCTAAGTGATCCTTAGCTGACTCCGCACAAGTATCTGTATACTATAAACCTTTAGAAGTATGAACTCAAATTATCGACTTCCTACAAACTCTAGTTCGCGAGAAACGTGAAATTCAATGTGAGACACCCAAGTATGGGAAATTAATTTTGGAATAACTCGTAGAGTAAAGCATGTGGAAGCTGAAAATTTAAGTTCGAGTTTGTAGTATGCAGCGGCTTACGTAGGAACAGCAGGGGATCACTTTGGCAAAAACACAAACATTTTCGAATTTCTGATTCTGACCAGAAAAAATACGGCGATGGTTGTATAAACGTATGATATGGAAAGTGATGCGTAAGCAGATTAGGGATCTTCTAGGATTATTTAGGACGAGGTTACGATTTCTCTCAATCATTCGGGCATTTGAATCATTCCAACTTTTGGCTTCAAACTCAAAGAGGATAAAAGCTGGAGCAGAAGCAAGAAAACCAAGTTGTAGAGCTTAATTAGCTCCACCAAACGATTTTTTGACATCTCTATAGATACAAGATTTGCGTGGCTTAGTGCGGTCAAAGTTCTCCTGACGATGTTTTTGTAAGCAAATACGTTCACATAGGGATCAGTACGAATTTTACGAAATCAATGCGACAGTGCTTTTGGTTCAACCTAACATAAATTTTCAAAAATGTGATTTGATCGGCTTAATTTCTTTGCAGAGATGCTCTGTTGTTATTTAATGATCTATTCTCAACATTCTCAACGATAAACCTGTTTTTACTTGTAAATATCATTAAATCGGACAAAAAGTTCGTGCCCTTTTATATAAACATGTGAAACGAAGAAATCAAAAGCAGCATAAGTACCATAGACTCATCTTCTTTCCACATTTCAGCAGTTCATGTTTCTAGAATTTCTCTAGTCTTTAGCAAAACACGTGCACCTACCCAACTTTAAAAATTCACAGTTTCTATTCTGCACTTTTGCTTCAGTAATGGATGGAAGAATACGGACACATTGCCTTGCTATGCATTTTCTGGCATCTGTAAATTGATTATCTAAATTTTTGCAATTAGTTTTTTGTTGCTACCAAAAGTTCGTTTGGTGCACAACCATAGAGCATTAGTCGGGGAAGATTTGGGTTTATTCGATGGTCTTCCTCATGGATATTTCCTCTTCCCATACGTAAGTCTTGGGCGGTTGAGTCAACATGATTCTTGTTTTCGGCGTGCCCCAACCCGGCAAAGTTGCAAAGCTATTCTTTGGACGCCTTCGAAGCTTAACATATTCTCAAGGCGGTAGCGTTCCCCAATGCTAATCATCTATATTAACTAAGTTTGCCTGTTAATTTAAGACTGTAGCTGTGCACTCAGCTTGGGAGAGTGGAAGTGAGACAGGGACATTTCTTTCATGACTGAGTATATGTTTTAAGTGTTTTGGCGCACCGTGAGTGTACATATAAAGCACAAAAATTAAAAATAAAGTTATATTCTGATCCAAATGCTCAGTTGATTTTAACCTAGTGTTGTATCATAATCGACTTCTGATTCCAAATTTCGAATAGTCAGTGATGCGCTCGTCATTATACTAATTCGTCAGTGAAGATGTGAACATCATGTATAGTCTGCCACATTCGGGATCAGCCGAACCGACGGCTGAATTTTCACGCTCGCAGCGCTAGAGGTTTGCGCTGCATACGCGCGCTGTCGCAGAGAGCCAAGAGGTTGAGGAGGGAGCAGACTAGCTAGTCGTAAACGTGATGCAATACCCTCGCCACACGGTTTTCCGCCATGCCGATTTTGGCCTGGTTGGGATTACGGCAGATTGTACAATGCAATGCGTTGCGCCTTAGCTACTCTATCCACTTGCTGCTAAAGCACTTTTCGGGCAGAAAGGAGATTTGTAAGGAATTGCTAAAGCTGAACATATTGAAAGTGGTACCAAGCTTCAGCAATCATTATTAGTAGCGACTAGAACTACTTCTGAGGCATAACTGTTGAGAAAAGGAAGGGATGCTGATATTCAACATTGATACCTTGAGGTAAATTCTACCTCCTGGTAGTTCTATTCAACATCGATACCTTGAGGTAAATCCTACCTCCTGGTAGTTTTATCACTCATTATCAGCAAATACCCTGAATCACGAAGGTACCTCCACGTATTTCTTAAGGTTATTCTTGAGAAGGTTTTTGTGTTGAATGGAAAGTACCCTGAAAACCTCAATATATCATTGATAAACCGTCTTCATTAAACGAACTGCATTTGCTTTGAGGTATATTTTCAGTACTATTTCTATCCATATCCAATGGCAAGGCTAAAAGAATAACTTTAGAGGCCCATGAACGTTCAAAAGCTGATTTTTTACATGTATAATGCAGTGACGTAGCTTAGGTCACCTTAGCAATTTTACGAAACTTTGGTGAGGTCATTGAAAGTTATAGGAGTTTAACAAACTTAGCGTAGCATTTCTGTCTGTCTTGAGAATTTTATAGATGTTAAGAAACGCCTGAAAATCAGATATTGTTAGGGTAGAAATAGTTAAAACAAAGTATATCCCGCAGTATCTTGGACACAGAACTTTATTGTAACGACAAAGTCGAAGTTGCTTAACAGAATCACTTCGTCTCCGATCTTAAATCTACGGAAAAATTGAATGATGACGTTTACTGTGATGTAGTTCCTCGATTATAGTTTTTCTGACTGGCCATTTTGGATTTCACTGGTCAATGTACTTTCAAGTATCATATTCTCTGACTAAGACGCGAGCACGCTTTGCGTTTGAGCAACAAGTTCATGAATGATTCTAATGCATTTTGGTTGATTACTATCAGAAATTTGTGAATTAACGTGTTCAAACCAGCGTGCGAGCTCAAACATGCTCTTCCACGATCTATTAATGAAACCAACGCGTATAACTCATTCACGAACTTGTTAATGAAATGTACGCAAAGCGTGCCCGCGTCTCCTAATCAGAGAATGAACGACACGTTTGAGTACGCACCAAAAGAAGAGCTGTTACTCTTTTTTTTGTAAAATTCTGAAAATTCTCGGAAGCTCTCTAGAATTTTTAAATAGGCTCCATTTGTGGGGCACGACAGCATGTACACAACAGGATGACTGACGCCGCAAATGCACAAATAGCTAGCAATTTACGTCAATTTTTTAAGCACACTCAAAATTTTCATTTTTTCTTTGATTTTTTCTCCGTGTCTGGCTGTGTTTTTCTCCTATAATTTTTCAAAAACATATTCTCGCCTTGTCTCTTTTATAGCTGCACTCGATTTCGCTAGCATGTCAATAATGAGGGGTGAGAATAAACCAAAAAAACAAAAATTAGTTGAAAATGTTTCTTTTTGTGTGCGTGTAAGATTTGATACGGAGGGTTATATTGTTTGTAAATCAAAAAATGTTCTTTTTGTTGAAATGCGAAAGTGCGCTGACACGGCGCACCATGTAACTCATGTAAACGTGTATGGACATGATTGTGTCATTTTTTTATATTCGCTAACTATGGACCATACACTGCCTAAATACCTCATCGCCCGCTCTCTCACCGATCACCTGGAAGAATGTCCCGTTGACGAAAATGTCCATCAAACGACCTCCCACAAATAGAGTTATTCAGCGCAGGGACCACGGATGTGACAGCACCAGTAGGTAGACCTTCGCACCCCGTCAACACTTCTTGAACACAAGAATTTTTTGAGTTTATGAGATTTTTAAGGAATAAAAATAAAAATCAACAGAATTTACATGCTAAAATAATAGATTGAAAATGTTGCTGACTCAGCAAATTGATCACTCAACTCTTCGTTTATGGATTGTTTCACCACTCACACATGTGAGTGTAAAAATTCTAGAAACTTTCTTGAAAGAAGGAAGATATTTCCTAAACCGCGGTTCCCGGTTTATGCTTATGATGCTAAGCGTCGTGAACTTCACAAAACTTACAACTTTTCAAAGAAATCGAACCTGTTTGGCTGAAAAAAAAAAACAAGGCGCGAGTGACCCAACAGTTCTTGGGCACACTCTAAATTCGCAAACTGCTAAGAGCAACCCTATCGATAACATTATCAAAAAAAAATCAAGCAGATTTTCAAATCTAAAATGGTGTGTAATCAAGATAATTTGTCAAATTGAACGCTCTTGTTATTCAATTGATGACTGTGCAAGATAAAAAAAACTTTTTTTTAAACAGGCAGGTCCCACTTTTGTAAAAAGTATCTTGAACTGATTTAGCTCAAAGCAACAAATAGTTAATTAAACTCAGAGTCATTTAGAAAGTACAGAGTGATTCTGAAAGTATATTAACCACATAGTCAGCTACTCAAGGCTTCAAAGCCTGGACTAGCTGATTATGTAGTTGATATACTTTCAGAATTATGTAGTGAATATACTTTCGGAATCACTCTGTAACATATTTAAATTTGAGGGAAAGATTTCCCTTGTAGAAATATCGTGCTAATACAGAAAGCAATCACTGCAACTACGTCATGCTCCTAAACCTTGCGAAAAAAACTGATAAACACGATAATATTGTATTTGCATGCACAAAATGTGCATGCTTGCATTGCAGTAGGGTTCATTCCCCTGTCATCCTATGGCTGAACGGCATACGAGGACTTGTCGAATGAAACTGTTTTTGAAAGAGCAGTCGTCAAACTTCGCCGAAAACGTTCCAGCGTCAGAAGCGCCGAAAAGCGTCAGAAGACCTCCAGGTCGCGCGCACTCTTTGGCGTTGTAATTCAAATTTAAATAACTTGTTCACTCATTTAACAGACCGATAGAACAAACTGGACAAAACAGGATCCTTTCTGAACCCGTTCATCTACCAAAGGCAGCGTCAGGGCAAAACTGACCTACCTTAGGGCCAGTAGTAATCCCCCAAAAGTCGTCACAACTCAAAGAAGATGCGGCCATGACCGCCCAAAACCAGTCACAACTTGGGAACGACGGCCTTGGCCGTCCGCCGCAAAAAGCTCCGCGATCACCCTCGCCGAACTCGCAATGACCAACGGCACGCGCAGTCGCTGTGCTATAAACAAAGTTTCTGTCAAAACTCTGAGCAAGAGAAAGGTGCATGAGGTAGATGGATAGGCCTTCAAGCTAATATGTTGAAATTTATAAGCAGCCTCATTATAGCCGAGTCTTGCCGCGAGTATACATACAGCTATTACTTGACAATTATAAACACAAGGTGGGCGATATCTGGGTGCTATGTATATCACTACGGATAGCGCAGTGGCTGTATTGCGCGCAACTGAGCTGGACGTATGCAGCACAAGTCACAAGTACGACAAATCGTTTACAAAGCGATATGAAAAATGCTGTTTTTTTAGTGATTATAAGAACTTAGCTTTTGGACATAAATTGGCGTGCAAAGAAGATATTTGAGACGTTGAAATACAAAATTATAAGACTTTTACTGATTCGATCTGTACTAGTTTATGCTACTTCATTAGCCACGGCATCAAATTGTTTCCTTACTCAAATGAAAGGAAAGCAACTGGTTCACAGCTAGTGAAAGCAAAAAACAAACAAAAATTCCGGTAAAAAATTGTATAAATTGTAAGAATTTGTAAAATTAGGACATATGAAAACAACTAACCAAACTGGTTGAAAAACGACTATCAAAACTAAAAACGCTTGAGAGCAGCAAATTTGGCTGAAGAGGGCATGAAGATGCATGCTGATCAAAACTGATTTACCTTGCCTAGGTTCCGAAGCAAAAAACAGAAGAAATAATAGCAGAAAATGGAATAAGATTAGCTGTGCGCCTCGCGACTGTGCGCTATCAGCTGTTCATATTGATATTTGACGTGAATTTTGATTCTATGCGTGCTTCTACGCGCAGCTGGCGGCACTACCACCCCGTACTTACTCGGCCTCTACTCATTTGTCGGCACCACGACTTTTTTGCTTCTCCAACCAAGACCCAATATTTCCCGATTATCTGTATAACGGGCATGCAGGTGCTGCCCTGTCGTGCCGGCGGCATTCCCGTGGCGTTAAGCCAGCCATATGCCTCGGTCACGTCGCCTATCCCTTATTATAAGACGACAGCAAAAAGGGATTTGCCGGGCATTTGCCCGCTCCGAGCGAGTCGTCACGACTCAAGGGGGGGGGGGGTTTACTACTGCCCCAAATGTTGAGACAGTTCAATAGAGGCCCCCTCAACTAAGTCAAAATGGCGTTCGCTCCGAAAATGAATTTTAGAAGCAGGGGAGAAGGCTAGGCGTTTTCCCTTTGACTTTTCGCTCCCTTAGCACCTGTACGGACGAGCTTACAGATTATGCGCGTCACTTTCACGTTGCACCTGCAAGGTATCGTATCACTGTCTTGACACATAGTTATTTGGACGTTGCACGCAACAAATTAACGTTGGGATACTCGTTCACGCTTGTCACGAGTTTCTTAAACGGGGTTTTTGGGGATTTTACGCAGATTTTAGTTCGGATTTGGAATCAGGGACGTCGAAAGGGCCAGAAACGCCGAAAACTGGAAGTCGAGAACCACACGCCATAGCTGGTCAGTCGCTACTTGATACATTTGATCTGCTTGATCTTCGCGTAAAACGCGTTATGAGTAATCTGTCATTTGGTGTCGCTTAGATGACAAAGCAGTGACGGCAATTGTACGCGAACTGGATAAATTGGCTCAAATTGAGTCTCAGCCATGGCAGTGCCTAAAGCAAGAGACGTTCGTATTGTCATGTTCGAACGCGTGACTAACAGTTGAACAGTTTTCCGCTTGAAAAAATCACTTGAGACCCATAGAACCTAGAATTACAAATTACCCTGATTTCACGCGTATAGGATGCGGGGAATTTTTTTTTCCAAAATCGAACAGCACAGACACGCCGAAGGACTTCGCGATTAAAAAACAATTTACAATGCCGCATATTGCTTGATAGTATCGTGCGGCAATAAGTCTCGTTTTCCGAAACACAACGAGGCGGCTGAGCGACTCGCTTGAAAAACCGAAAAAGGTGCGTCTTATACGCGTGAAATCAAAGTACTTTTATTCTACTAATTTTAGAAAAGGTGGTAATAGTAAAGTAAAGTAAATCTTTTCCCACATTACACTCGTTTTCGATTGAATATCTGGTATAAGATGCATATGATAATTACTTATTTGTGAAAAACCCTGATATTTTATGAGCAGTTGGTAGGGGTGAGGAAAAACGGAACTTCACGTGATTCTCCAAAGCAAATCAAACTTGATGATTTTGCATGATTGATGTTTATTAACAACTAGGCTTTGATTTGAAAGCATTAAAAGCTTTCATATTTTTGCTGCAATTACATATTTTATGAGTGTACCAAAAATGATTTTGAAAGAAACAATCTTTGAGGAGCCAAAACAGCAGATCAAAATCTGAAAGCAACTGTTCCAAAATTTGCTGTGTTTGTTTCATACCTGTTCCTTTCCGAAACTCTGGGACAAAATTTTCACAAATTAGTCGAATATTGAGCAGGTAAAAATGAAGGCAGAAGAATTTTAGCAGTTATCTTGAAACATTCGAAAAAATATGATTTGAAAATGTAACCACCAAAAAGAAACGCAAAAGCTGCAGCGAAGCATGCTTGAGAATGCAGACATTACTGCATGAAGTTTTATACTCATTTGGAAAAACCGAGAAAACTTTTAGGACAATATTAAAAACAAAATATTTTCAAAAATAAGAAAATCAAAGCTAACTCAATGAAAATTCTAATAATTGCCTCATTTATTTTTTCTTCTATGTAAAAACAGTTTACTTGCACTTCATGAGGTGAAAAAACACCATAATTAAGTTAGACTTCGCGTTCCCAGAATTCCGTACCGTAGCTTTTTTTGCGAAGAAACGCATGGGGCTTTGAAATTTTCTTGATGAAAGGGTTATAGAATGCGGTCTAGGACGAAGCCATAAAAAGATTGCAGAAATATGTACTGACCTTTTAGTATATAATAAAAAAAAAGTTCCGCGCTGTGTTAGAACGGCGCATACTCTAAGACATCACGGAACTTCATTTCATTATATACCGGAAAATCTTAAAATGCGACAGAAAAAATTTAGTGCATATGAGCCTGAGAAAGCTGGAACTATGGTCCAAAGATCTATGAGAATGAAAGCCGTGCCCAACTTTTTTCCAGATTAATTGGAATCATTCAAACTGAGTGCCAACTGAGCTGCACTCAACAGGGCCCGGCACAGATCGTCTGGAAGCAGGCTGGACTTCGTTTTTGGAGCAAAAAGCAAAGGGGACTTCGTTTTTGCGGGGTCCGGGGCGGAGCCCCGGAAAAAAAATTTTTTGTACATGCTTCACTAGCGAGATATTGTGGTGCAAATCTGCCCGGATTCGTAAAGCTTGAGGAGGGTAGAAACTGATTTGCAAGTCACTCACTGCTGCCATATAGGTTTTCTATAACAGTTAGGAATGACAATTTTAGCTTTGGCTCTACCTGGACCAAAAGACCAAGCCCACAAAATTTCAAAATCTTTTTCAAGATTTTTAGGGTTTTTTTTACCACTGACCCTCTCAACAAGTTCAGTGATATTTTCCGTGCTCTTTCTGTACCACTAAGATCCTCGATGAGAGGGCAGACTCTCTTCGTAAACAGCCAACAGCTTTGCTCTGCAAAAGGTATGAGTGAGCAGTACACAAAGATACGATGCTGAAACGTAGCACTTAAATTCTGTCAAAGTCGTATCATCTACATGCCCTCCTCTTATAGACTTCTCATGTGGTAGCGGAGCAGCCTTCAAAGGAACATAGAGAGAGTCGTTCCTGAGATGGCGTAAACAAGAATTTGAGAGAAACATGATTATGGTGCACAAGTGATCGAGAGATCAACTCAGTTTTTAGGAAAATTAGTAGGTTTTACGGTAATTTTCTCCTGGATCTGGATGCTTGTCAATTGAGGATCGACACAACCTTTTCCAAGAATGGTACAATTGGCTTTGAAACCTAAACAGACTCGAGCACACATTACACAAGGAAAACTCGACGAAGAACGTGAGTAGTGACAAAAGCACCAAAAAGTGCATGCAACAAGCAGAAGCAATGAAAATGACCAAGAAATTACCTCTAAGTTAGAGTCTAGACCCATAGTCTCCTATCTCTAAGGATATTCGATCTCTAAGGCACTTTTGTAGATGTGCTTCCAAGCAGTGATCATCGCTAACTCTCCACTAACCAACTTCAACACCTAAAAGTCCTTATTTGAAAGCCTTAAGGAGTACTCCAAGAGATCTACTCTAAGGCTGGAATCCAGGATAGACCATAGTCTCAAGTACTCAAATTGCAACTTGCAAATTTGTTTCAGACAGACAGACAGACACAACACAAAAAACGTAAGGACCCAGCTATTATAAGTTATGATAATTCCTTCACTTCCTCCTGTATTTCAAAGATAAACGAAGATAGACCATCTAGACGAACACAAGGTTTTCGGACAGGTTATCACACGATTGACATGCTCTATCGTGTATGGCGGAAAGTGCGCGCGATTTGAAAGCAAGGCCAAAATAAACAAATCGCTTGTTTACAGCGCACACAGAATCATATGACACCAAAATTGCACCGTACATATAGAAAATTATTTGCGGAAGAAATATGTAAAAATATTTGAAAACTTATGTGAAGTAATACTTTTTCCAAAATTAGATCGTCTCCAGACGGCCACCAGACGATCTGAGATCGTCTGGAGCATATATTTTCGTCACTTCACATAAGTTTTGGATCATTTCAGCATGGACGGATGCCCCGGTCAAAAATCTATCCCTGAGCATAAAAATATTTTCATATTACCCCCTGTCCGTCGTTTTTTATCACCTTTTTTCCGAAAATCGTTATGTTAGATATCGCGCTCCAACGCCGTATCCGCGTTGCTCTGAGCGAAATTTCGATCGCTTGGTCGCTTTGCCACAAACATTGAGTATTTCCTCTGTTCTAATCGTTCTCTGTTCTTGTTCTTCCTGCTAGTTCAAGCTTTTTGTTGTTTAAATACCTATAGCGCTTTGATTTGCCTTCATAAATATTCTCGATTAGTTTGAATTCAGACAGTTTCATGTTCGACAAGTGGTTATGTTTCTAGGAAGGGATGCTCGGGAAGGTTATTGCTCAAGATGTCGTCGAAAGAAGAGGAGTTCGCTTGTTTCTCTGACGGAAACGCATGAGAGTAAAAAACCCATGGCGAAAGAAATACAGTCGCAGAATGTCATCGATGCAAGAACAGCTGTTGTACAGACTCGGAGGAATAGCCCGTTGGTTACATTTTGTTCTGTTTATACCTCTGCTGTATTCCTTTATTTAGCACATTTTTACTATATATCCTGGTTATTCTGTAAGGCGTTGGGTAGGAGTGCTTGTTGAAGTGCAGAATAAGGCTAACAAAATAGATTAAAAGGGTAATTGTGGTAGAGCGGTCCTCTTTGACCTCATGCAGCAAAAGAACAGTTGATCGACTTGCTTTTGGCTATGTGTATTTTTGGCCGTTTACAACTAGATTACGTCCATAGTTGCCCGCAATTTGTATGGTGTCTTCCTACTCAAAACGTACACCTTTTTCGACTTGTACCTTATTCCTTGGCCTATACTGTAGACAGCGATGCAAATTCGGCGGGTATGATACAATAATGCAGGTGTTAGGGTGTTGAATTTGCACAAAGTTTCTAAGAAGTTTGGCGGGGATCTGTGATGTTTGCTAAAATTCTAGCATGTATAGCATCTTTATCGAAACGCTCAACAACTTGCTAAATACTAATCTCTATCACGTTTAGAAGGAAAGCTGTGCAAGATGTCTCGAATCACAAGATCACGGACTTCTTCCTTGTTCTCCAAAGTTCCCGAAAAACAGGCAAACAGTTGGAGGTTGGCGAAGGATAATTTCCTCATTAGTTATCTAAAATCATCAACATTATGGTTTGCTCAGGTAAAACATTTAGGAAGAAAAGAAGTATGCTTTGCGCGATGCCATCACAATTTGACCAATGAGCCGCTCCTTGAAGTCTAATAACGAAAGGAAAGGAGGTGGCACTTGAGCTGCCAAATCATTTGTGAAAATGACTTTGTTATTGAGTACAAAGGTTTGTAATTTTAGCTTCATTTCGCTGCATGTATTGTCGTCTCCGAGACCTACTCTTTAGTCGAGCTTTTGCAGGAGATATGATGGACTACAACTCAGCGAAGCTTCGCGAAGAAGAATATGCAAAAGATCCAACCATTGGTTCTTACATGTACTTCTTCAGATACAAATGTAAAAGATGGTATGTGGACGCTACGAAAGAGTCAGTTTATAAGAGTCAACTCATCAACCAAAGTGCCCTCCGTCCTAATTTGCCCACGGAAGTGAGTTTCACTGCAGTTGTTTTACATTTATTATTATTCTTGTTTTGCGATAATTATTGGTGTTGTTGTAAGCCAAGAACATGCTAGGGTAATCTCGCTATTCTTTTATGTTTCTGACACATTTTGCTCACACTATTCATATACCCCTGCCAGCTTGTTTTCCCTACATGCTGAATTGTCGCTTTTGGAACTTAGAAGGGAAGATACTTAGCTTAGTTCGATCTTTAAGAAAGATTTATTACGGCAGTATCAGCTAGTGTTAATATTCTTGCGTTAAGCTTCTCTTCAGTGAGTAAAGATTGATTTGGATGTTATTTCGATATCTCAGAACCTTTCTCGTGCAGATTTTTACCTACATGCAGTCTTTCCATTTCAGTAGTATGCCAATTCCGCACATTAAAGAGCCCATAACTCGCTTCGCACATATTTGGAATCAGCGTTCAAAGCTGATTCGGAATATGTATGTCCCTTGCCGGCAGGCCGAACTAAGTTAGGTAGCTTTCCTTATCAGTACTGTCATCGAAATCCACCTGGTTCAATTTCTGCAGCTGAAAACACGAAATAACACAGTTTTTGGCTGGCAATTAAATGATTTCTCAAGACAATCGAAACCGATGGTTAGTTGAAAGCTCAAACTACGATATACAAGGTCATCAACCGCAAGTGACCATATCAGTTTCAGTTCTTATGCTGTGAGATGCCGGGTCGCTAGGATTGGCTCACTCTTGTCGAAAAATCCATATTGACGTTTCGCTCTCTAAAGTAGGATTCAAAATGGCAATGTTTGGTATCATGTTCTGTGCTACCTCCAAGTAGGTGAAATTTCATTTTGGAGTGAGCAGCCGATAAAGGCGTTTTATTTAGATTGGAAGTATGCTTGCTGAGAAGGCAGACCTTGCGCAGCTTACCAAAAAGGGATTGATCAAGATCAGAAATTTATTTCATGCCTGGCGCGATTCTCGTGGCATTTTTGAGGGATCATTTTGCGCTTTCTGAGGTATGTGGTTTTCAAAAGAGTTTCTTTTTCCTTTAGTGGCTCACAAAAACAACTTATAAAACTAACTTGATTTAAAACAACTTATCTTTATAAAGTTGGACAGAAATCTGCAGACCAGTCCCTTTCACATTCCTTTGCTCTTTTGCTTGTACACCTAAGTCTGGCGGAAAACATTGTGTGGCTTAGTCACAGTAACACGGATTTCACCAAACCCACGTCTGCCTTTTGTTTTTTGTTTATTTATACTTCTCCTATCTTGGTCGTGCTGTTATACTTGTATTAATCACGGTGGTTGGCGTGCTTACGATGATGCTGCTTTGGTCACAAGTTTCTTTCATCACAAGTTTATTTCTCGCGCCTTGTTCAGATCGCACTATCTTGCAGAACTGTGATCCAGCTTGTCCTCAAGTTACGGAATATCACAAGTACGCCATAGAACACTTCTTCCAGCCGTCAAGTCGAAGAGTGGAAATCTTCAAGGTTAGTCATCTTTTCTCTTTGTCTGTCATGTGCGCCATGTCATTTCCATCTTTTTACATAGTCTGATCATAGCGTCGGCGTCTTCCCCACACTTATCAGAGGGACTGTGCAAATTTCGGGTGCTTTTGGGGATGGGGCAAATTTTGGCTCTTGTCTCCTATAAAACTTTGAACCGACTGAGAATGTAAAATTTTGGGTTGTCGTGTGGGCATTTGCGAATATGATGGAAGGCAGTAGCATTTGATAGAATCTCAATGCATGGTTTGAGTATCTTATTTTTCGTTTCAGGTGTGCTCGGATTACTGGTGTGCCTTAACATCCGAGTTGTATCGGCTGAATCCATTCACCGTCCCATCTCCACCTATAATATCATTTTCTTGTCGAGACACGTCTGTGCAAAAGAACATCCGAGGAGGAAGCTGTACAAGTAAGTTTTGCAAGGGAGTATTTCTGTTAGGTTATCCTTTTTTCAAAAATAAAACTGTTTGTTTAAGAGAGCACCGATCAAATTTGCGTACTATCATGAACACACTGTGTTGGGCGGTCGGTTCCATCTCCGGAAATAATCCCATCTTTAATGATGTTTTTTTCCTTCGAAGCAATCTTTCTTGGAGTTTTTTCGAAATTGAATTATGAAGTTGATTTGATAAAGTTGTTCACGTTTGATAAAGTTCATTTATAAAATCGTGACGACGGTTTTTACTGCGGACTTTGCGCTCGCAGAAGCATAAAATGCTCATAAAAGAGGGCATCACCTCAACGTTCAGCTCAGTCACTTCCACTTATCTGAACGTTATCATACTTGAGCAAAAAACAATTCAACTAGAGAAAACCAAGAAAATGCCATTTCCATGAGTGGCGTGCGTGCGCGCGCGGTCGCGTCATCGTCACAATTTTTGAACACCCTTTACAACATGCTTTTGTTTGCTTCTCGGCTTGACCCGGAAGATTGTTGATCCAATCACAGTTGGAGGGTGTGGGGGGGGGGGGGTAGGGCAAGGATCAAAGGGGACTTCGTAAAATTTTCGAAAGTCAGGGGGGACTTCGTTTTCAAAAACCCTAGAAACGGACTCGTGCCGGGCCCTGGCACTCAACTCTTCACTCAAACAATTCTTCATACTTTTTTTCATAAATTGTATCTTCGCTTCAAAAACTTCCGTACAAACAAAATACGGCTTTATAACCTTACTT